GCAAGTTGGCTTTCTCGCTGTCGATCACTTTCAGTGTAGACACCGCTGTGGCCAGAAGGGCCGGGTCAACCGGCTGGGTCTCGGCATTGTCCATGGCGTAGGGCTGGCTCTCATCAACATAGATACCTGCGCAAGAAGGAGAGGGGTCGAGAGGAAAGGGTAGAGCGTTTGTTTCGAGTCCACATATACATCTCTACTCAGTTGGTATTCCGTTAGCACCCAGCATGTCGATCAAACAAGCGAAACATTTGGTGACCTCAAGGTGCACCTCAATTGCAACCTTATATGAGCCCATTTTGCAATTTCAACTTTGCGCTGACAACTGATGGATATGTTTTGTCAGTGCACACGAAGGCTGCTCATCGCTGGCAAGAGCCAATGAAGATGTTGAGCATGGAAGCTGCGAACTGAGCCGCCTGAAGTTGTGATGCCCCCGCCACCCAACATGATTCGATCCCCAAAGCCCAAGTGTTATACTTAATCCCTCCCCCCATCAAGGTGAAGAGAATTTAAGCAACATTACTTTCCTTCTCCAGGGCGCTGCAAGTGCTGCGCCCTCCGAAGTAATAGCTGTTGCAGCTGCGCAGTAGTGAGCGACTCAGGCTTGGTGACTTCGACTTCCAGGACATCATCGTCCTCACCAGTGCCAGGAGGCACCTGATTTGGCTTGTCACGATCCGCACTCTCCCCAAAGATCTCCCCCAGGACCAACCCACCATCAGGGGCAGATTCTTCGAAGGGGCGGGGCTCCTCCACAGCATCTGGTTGTTCAAGGGCTGCTTCACGAGCCAGCGCGTCTTCTTGAGCATCACAACGAGCCGGGGTTTCTCCGTCTTTTGGATCATCATGAGGGGCTTCTTCCTGTTTGTCGTGAGCCGGGGCTTTTGCATCTCCATCATGAGATGGGGCTTCTTCCTGTTCATCATGAGTTGGGGCTGCTTCTTCTTCTTGTTGATCATGAGCCAGGGCTTCTTCTGGTTTTTCATAAGGCGGGGTGGGGTCCGCAAGGTCAAGCGGTTGATCCTCAATGGGGGGTGGGCCAGACGAAACCCTGGTCCCCGCTGCAAACCTTCTGCCAGTTTCGAATCGGGCCCAAAAGGCTTTTCTTTTCTTGATCGCTTCCGGGTCCTCGACCGATTTTGGGTTCACCTCCTGCGACTCTAGCTCGGCTGTGTCAATATCCAAGGGCAGTGTTTCTGGCGCAGCCTCCCGACAAGTTGAAGTAGGGGTTTGCCAGGCTCAAAACATATTTTTTTACTGCATGCATTTGTTTATGGTTTGAAAGGCCAGTCGTGTATATGGGTCTTTATAGACACTCTCGTGCACAACATGCACTTGGATTGCTCCAGGAAAATCACAAACCCTTGCCAAAAAAAAGAGGTGAGGGAGCCAACCTCAAACGTGCCTGCTCGATGTGGCCCAGGCAGCAAAGCAGCATTTGCAGCGTTGGATCCTGCGGGAAAAAGAGAAGCCGGTTGGGCATGGTCAGTGCATGGGGACACTTAATGTGAGGGTTACTTGTGTTATTTGATGCACAAAGCTGAATTAACACAATTAACACCTGGAGGTGACAAGTTCAGGACCTACACCCAAACCACTTGCGCGGGAAAAAACCAACGAAACCAAACCCACTTTATAGAAAGCTCTCCTGAGGCAGAACTTTCTTGTAAGTCAACGACTTGGCGAAAGTGATCAATCGCCGTACAGCCCAGGCTTCCTTGTACACCTGCTCCACATTGTCTTCTGCCACCCCATTAGACTCAAACAATTGCTGAACTTGCTCAAGGACAGCATCGATTCCCGGCACCTTCATGTGGTGTTCCCTCATGACACTCAATGCAGGGGCCAGGACCTGCGCGTTTGACTTAAGGTTCAGGACCGTCTTCTGGACAAAGCCCACCTCCAAAGGACCATTCTCCACTTTTCGCATGAGGACGAAGCATTTGTGCCTTCGGATTCTTTCACGAATGTCGGGAGTGTTGTCCCATTCTTCTGCCACCCCCGCAAGGTCGAACCCCCCAGACATGTCCTCAATCGATCCGGGGCCGCGCAAATGACCAGCGCAAATGCCGTGCGCTTGAGACACGTGTGGCTGCCGGCGTTCGAAAGCAGTTCCAGTTAAGCACATGCATGCAACGCATTGAGGCTCAGTTGGCAGGTGGCAAGTATAATGAAGCCAGGCGCGCCCAGGCGTCTCCCTGTAGGATGGTGATGCACCACCATGCGCGATAGGCTTAGGCAAGCGACCAAAGGGTCATGAGCTGCAACGTGTTAATTTGTCTCTATATAGGCTGAGCTGGTGGAATTTCGGGATTGCTTACCACTGTCTAGGTTGTCACCTTTGTGGGATGCTATCAAACTCTCGACATCGCATTGGGTGGCACATCATGGCGGCTGAGAGCGGCAAACTTGGCGACCAACTGTTCAAGCTACTTTAAGTGAGCGCTTTTACACGTCCAATTCCCACGAACGGCTTTTATAACACCAGTGTTGAAATTTCAACACCTTGGTGCCAAAATGATCATTTTCCCGAAAAATGATCAAAAGCGACAACAAAGGGAGTAGCAGGTAGGTACTGTATTATGCTTTGTGTGTCATGCTGGATAATCCTGCCGTCGCACAGTTTCCATTGGGGTCCATCTCACCTCCCATTCCGCAAATACCCTTATGCTTCAGTTGGGTTAAAGATAGCACAGTCCCCCCTACTGTGGATGAACAAAATCCCGGACCACCTGAGAAACCATTAATTAAAAGCCACAGTTTGTTGGCATTTGCATGAAGAATCCCAGTCATTCCAGGCTTTCTTTGGTGGTGCGAAATTGAACTCGCAACCATCCACGTCGTTCGTTCGCGTCGAGGACAACCTTCTGAAAGGGATCTCCAGCGCAGAGAGCGACCTGCAAGTCGCGGAGGCCGGGAGCGGTTCGGTCTCCGATCCCAAGGGCAGCGATTCGCGGGTCCCAGTGTAACATGACCATTTGCAGGGCTACTTAAAAGAAAACCATGTTGCAACCAATTGAAACATGTTGCTTTTTCAACACCAAAAGAAAGGGAAACCACCATTTACAAGACAATCTTCAGGTGTATAATGTAAGGATCCCTGATTGGATTGAATTTCGGAGGACCGGTTTTTTCAAGTGGAATCATTTCCCTTTGGAATTAAAAAAATAGCCTCCCCCCTCCTCAATAGAGATATTCCCTTCGGAGCCGAAGATCATATTAGGTTCCTCTGTGGTATCCGGGCTCAAACATGGTTCGATTGCAGTATGGAGCTCAATCAACAAAACTCTATGCCAATTTTGTTGGTTGAGTGTTGGTTTAGTGTTGGTTTAGTGTTGGTTCTACAATGTCCTCAAATAAGACTGGACTTGGGCCGGAAGTTTGCTCGTTTAGAATCGGTTCAGTATTGGCCAATTCTAAATTTATATCAGTGTTGGGAGATTTGGAGTCAGGAAGAATACTAATTGTCAGTTGGTTGCTTTTTTTTTTGGGGGGGGGGGGAAGTGATTTGTCTTCCAAGATCCTCATGTCAGCTTCCATGTTAGTTAGCACGAGGTTGCCGAGTCGCTTGAAGCTGCGATGTGAGCCAGGCTGCGGAGAAGGAAGATTCGGCCAAGATCCAATCGATTCGTTGGGATCTCAGCTTGTTGCTTGCAAAACCTTCACGACAAAATACGATGGTTTTCCTTTTAGTTTCCTCAACAAGAACCAAACAAGGGGTACCCTCAAAGAGAAGACACAGCCATATGGATGCACATTGGCAAAGGGTTTGCCAGTTCATGCGCATCGCACATGTGGCAGCGTCATGTCAGCAACATGCAATGCTGTCAAGCAACCTGCACGGCCAATGGACAAGAGGCCCCTGACGAAACTGGGTAGCTGCGCCGGAGGATGCTTAAATGGCACTGCCGCGGCAGCTGGTTTTGTCATTTGTGTCCTTGTTGAAGATCTTTGAGTTGCTTTGCCAAGACAATGACCAGGAGTGAGATGCAGACACAACGAAGACAGTCCATGTCTGTCACCAGATGGGGTTGGGGGGGGTGCCTTACAGGTGTTGCCTCTCTGGCGTAAAAGCCAAAAAGCCCCAGCCATCCCCTGGAGTTTCCGTTCGAATTGGCGCATGTAAAAATTGGCCGCGAGCGACAGCCCCATACTTGGGCGTGCGTATTTTGTTTTAGGGGCCCCCAAAACAGCGTCGATTTGCCCTGTTGCCCTTCAAACCCACCCAAGGGTATCCTTCAAGCACCACGCCCACACCTCACACCTCATAGTTTGACCTCCTTTGGCCTTTGGCCGATTTGACCCCGCCATCGGGGCAAACCGCTGCCTCCGCGGCCGGCAAAACGTTTGACGGGGAGGCTCGGACTGCTTGGAGAAAGCCGCCATCTTCGAGAAGAACCAGGCAGAAGCTTTTTTGCGGCGCGCCGTTCGACGGGTGGAGTGAAGATAGATCTGGAAAGGGGGGAAGGTGGGGGGGGTTGGTCAAACAAGCGCGCACATGAAGGTCGTTTGCTGGGGTCCCCTGATTTCCTGGTTGGGGATGTTGGTATTCTTGACTAGATAGGAAGCATGAAGAAATGGGCCAGCGGTGGAACGGGATGCATAGAGACAATCCATCCTCTGGTCACTACTACCCGCCCTCTCGTCCAAGACTCAGGAAACGGAGAGCGAACACCCGTCCCCTGCCTTTCCAAGTCTTACCGCTTATCCATATCTCTCTCTCCAATCCATTCTCAGCTCACGGGTAAACTCTGGAGACGACAGGTGAGCGGTAGGCCAAGGTGTTATTTGTGATGGCATCAGTCCCCATCATTTAGCTTTGCGACGCTGCCAATATTGGGCCAGGATGAAAATCAGCGGACCCCTTCGGACTCCTTGAAAAGGACCAGAGAAACAATCCAGGGTCGAGGGCCGAATGATTATGTCATCAATGCAAAGGCACGTCTCACATTCGAGGCGGCAAGTCTTTATCGCAGCATTTGACAACATAGCTGTCATAGCCAGATTTGGACATCTTGGGATAGATCATTTTGGTGCAGTGCAACTCATGTGGGCCGCAACACTGCCAAGAGCACACCTGGTTTGCTCAGCACAAGGCACAGGCGCGACGCTCCCCGGATCCCCGCACTTCGAGAGCCTATGACGACAAAGGAGCTGCTCTTGCGCGCGGAGGACGCCGCCGGGAGCGACCGAGCCCGGTGCATCCAATGCCTGCAGCTCTGCTGAATGGCCCCAAAACGGGGCGGGTATCTGGGTTGAAAGGGGTACTTACTGGTTGGTTTCAAGCGAAACCAAAAGGAACGCCGCCATTTTTCGGTGGTCGACCCCTAAAACATATACTTTTTATATGTGGTACTTTCATTTTGGAGGGAGCTCAAAAGGGTATTTGGTTGTCCATGTCTGTTTCAGAGGCGCTATTCACCCAGGCAGATGAACGGGAATCTGCTGGCACGGATGTCCACAACCTTGCGCTCAGATCGCGAGGTGGTCCTTGCTGCGGTGTGCCAGTGTCGAGCGGCTGCAGTAAGGGCCGATCGCCCCGGAGCTTTTTGTAATGTTGGACCCTCTTTACACCACCCCCCCCTCGCTAGGAGTGGAACCAATCAGCGGGACACTCTTTAAGCGAGATCCTGCAAATCTGGGAGGGACAGTACTTACTTTAGTATTGCCAATTCTACTTTAGTATTGCCAAGGCTGACCCTCAGATTCCCAGTACTTACTTTAGTATTGCCAATTCTGCTTTAGTATTGCCAAGGCTGACCCTCAGATTCCCAGTACTTACTTTAGTATTGCCAATTCTACTTTAGTATTGCCAAGACTGACTCTCAGATTCCCAGTATTTACTGTGGTATTGCCAATGCTACTTGAGTATTGCCAAGGACCGTTTTTGCAGCAACCCCCAAACAGGTTAGACACTAAAGAGGACCCCAAAACAAGCACATTTAAAGAGGTTCACGGCCCCTTGTGGGCACCCCCTTTGTGTGACTGTTTGCCCGTACTTTTGTGTAAAGAAGTTATCTTAAATTTGATGGTTTGGGGACCACTTCAAAGAATCCTGTTTGCCCGGATTTGCTTGCTCGTTTTTTTTGCTCGATTTCTTTGCCCCGTTTGTTTGGGCCATATTTCTTCGGAGGCTTAGTCCCAGACAAGATCAGGAGAGTAAACAACAAAGTTTGTTATTTGTATACAATTGCTGCAATTGAGGACCCCAAAACAGTCAAAAGATCCTGAATTTCGGAAAAAACACAGTTTGCTACAATAGAGGGGACTATGAATAAAGGAGGTGTAACATTAGCTAGTGGCCTTGCTTGGGGGCATATTTATGTTCATGCGTTCTCCTAATTTAATGAACACGGTCAAGTTGCCTGCGGCCACTTTGACCTTTGTTTTGAAGAAGAAAGGCCTTCAAAGATGAATGCCTTTCACACTGGAAAAGTGTCCATAGAGGTGTGGGTTCATTCTCTTGCCGTGCACGCCCTGTCTCGCAGGATCCATGCGACAGCGGATTCCTAGGGCTGATTGGGCTTTGGTTGCTCGCAAAACCTGTGCCGCTGTACCTTCCCGCTGGATCTAGAAAAGGAAGGTCCGTTTTCGTAAGGGCAGTGGCTCAAAGAAAAGGTACGCCCGGAGGTTTGGCCCATGATTTTACCAGCCCAGTGGATTCCGCCCTTTTTTCCTTTTCCTTGGGGAAGGGTTCCCCTTTAAACTCGACCAACCAAAAAAGGAGGCCCTTTTTGTCCCATGGCCACTGGGCATCTGAGTTTTTGAGCCAGCCCAAATGACGCTCACGAGCCCAGGCTTTCCGCCAAGTGTCCTCTTTTGTTTGCTTTCGGAGAAAACCAAAGAACCCCTCCTTAGCAAGGCAAACGGAAAGCTGGTTGTTTCAACAAACCCACGACAAATTCATGGCAACTCCAACGTTTCACTGAGGGTATGTTTTTCGTAAATACCACCACGGATTGAGCTCCACCAGTACCAACAGTCAATCCATGTCATAGCACTCCCGCAGTTAAACCATGTAATGCTACCAGGGAATTGTGTGGGTTACACCGGCGGCACCGAATCATTCCCATAGGTGGCGCTGCCTTAGAATACGCCACGGAAGATTTGCGCCGGGACCGCAGCCTTGCTCTGGAAGCCGTGAGGCGGGTGTGGAGGTGGATCCATTGAAGTTTCTGGGGTCTTCTCCAAAGAAGCGTTTTCTCCAGGGCAAGCCATTTTTGGCACCCAAGGACCCACGGCCAAATGGTTGGTTCCCTGAATATTCCTCAAGTTTTGTTCAGAAGCAATCCTTTGGGGCATTTTGCCAAGGGATGTTAGGACTGAAGAACTCTTTGCCAACTAGTGGGTTTTCCGTATTAAGCCACTGAAAGTTGAGCTGTTAGCAGGGGAGCAGAAAGCAACCGAGTTTTATTCTCACATTCTTTTAATATTCTTGTGTGGGCTTCTTACTTTAAAATGGCGTCATCCGCGCTCGCTTCCTCTCCTCCGCCTTCTTCCTCATTCTCGCTCAACTTACTCTGCTTTTCAAGCACTCTCCCTCTCACTCACTCAACTTACACATACTCTGACTCACTCGATTTACTCTTACTTTGTTTGACTTACTTACTCTCAATCAGTCGACTTACACTCGCCAATTTACGCATACGTTCTTACACTCACTGGCTTACACTCACTTGGCTTACACTCTCTGACTTTCACCCCACTCCCTCTCACTCGCTCAAATCAAACAACTTACTGTCTCGCACTCAATTTGCACTCACTAACTTTACACTTACGTAATCTCACTGACTCAACGTCCACTCACTGACTCAACGTCCACTCACTGACTTACGCATACTTTCTTGCACTCCCTGGTACACATACTTTCTCTCACTTTTTGAACTGACGCTCTCTGAATCTCAACCAGTCTCTCACTCACTCAACTTACAAATACTTACTCTCTCTCACTTACCCTTGCTTTACTATTTGGGCCTCTAAGAGATCCCCGACGACTGCTTTACAACGACATCGCTTGTTTTGGAAATACAAAGCAGTCTGGATTTTGTTTGTTTCAACGCTAAAGCCCTCCAACATAGGGGTCCACCATTTTGAGAAACACGATAAGAATACGAGGGGCTAAATATCTCAATATTTGCCGACAGTTTACTCCTGAAATAGGTAGATTGAGTTCAAGGTACCCACAACCCCGTTCGAATTGCTAGGCATCTATAGCACTAGACCATCAGCTTTTAAGGTCTTTCATGTTTTGGTGGTCCCCGAGCGGTTTTGTTTTTTGTTGTTGGGTAAGTATCGCTTTGTGGTGTCCCCAGTGATGTACTGATAGTAATATGGTCAGCCTATTGCTCCCACAGCCTACGTGGACAGCCTACGCAGTGCTTCTCACCAGCGGGCACCGGCAACTTAAAGAGACTCGAGGCGGATGCTAAACGAATACATGGCAGGAAGCACAATGATTTGCTCAAACGGCCAATGGAGCCAATACACCATCAAGCATGCTCATGTTGAAAAAGAGCAGCATCATGTAGGTGAGTGACGCTAAAGCAAGTTCGCGCTTCATCTCCAAATGACACCTTGGTATGGCGCCTTCAATCGCTGCAACCTGCAATGTCCTGACCAAGACCACCAGAACGCCCAAAACCCATTGACTTATGGGGTGAAGGTTTACTGTGGGATTACAGTAGCACAAATCAATCCACCTCGTAGAACTTCAACCACCTAGTGGCCAATAGGGGTTTCGGGTGACAGAGATAGCGGATGCTGTCAGTCGGTTCATCTGAGGCTTTCAGGACTCGAAGCCCAAAGAAGGTTTAGGAGAGATCTGCAACTTATGAACCAGCTGAAGCGCCGCAAGGGAAGCCAGTTCACCAACTTGAGACTTAGGCAACGGTATGGAGTACCGAGATGCATCAAAGTTGGGGCGGCTCAAACTCCCCCAGGCACCACCGGTACCGCTCACGCCGTGCCCTGGAGACCACAAGTCCGGCTACCAGAGACTTTTTACAAGTTGGGACTGGCGTCGGACAATTTGCCAAGACGCCATGACAATCAGAGGAGACTGAGGTTCCTTTGGTCGCTTGCCACCGGCCAGTCCGTGCTCCGATTGATACAGACTCGAATACGCCTGAGACACGAAAAAAGACGAACAGCCTCCATCAGCTGCGGAGAAAGCATCAGGAGGAAGTTTAAAGGGATTATTTCCAGCATGTCTAGGTCCCCCAGTAGTGCCCTTTAACCCTTTTTTGGGAGAGGGTCTTACTAAAATAGACTAATTACAGCAAAAAGGGTACCCTTATTCTATCCTCTCTACTGAAGGACCTAGATGTGCTCTTTTGGAAGTTCTTGGCAAGCATCAATCTTGCATTGCAAGTCAACCTGCTCCGAACAGAAACGAAGGAAAGGCGTCTAACCATTTGGCTCACCATGCCATTTGGTTCAGCACTACATGTTCAGCTTGGTTACTTTTCGTCGCTTGTCTCGGTTCGCGCCCCTGTAGCCCGCAGGAGAGATGGCCCAGAGAGCGAAAATCAAGCTCGCGCGCCAACAGGATATTTTCTGAAGCAGAGCTAAGCTCCCAGTAAATGCCGCAACATGCTTTACTAGCCATGGAGCACGCTAATACATGGCTTGTAACACTAAACTCCCGGGATTTTTGTTTGCAACCCGCGCAGCTTCGTCTTTAACGAGTTCACCCGCACGTTACGAGTGTCAGCACCCCAAGAGAAAGTCCGCATATACACTCCGTTCAGGAGTTTACGCAATTCGCGCAGCTATCGCGTAGGCATGATTTCTAGTGTTTCTTCCCGGTCCCAAAAAAGTATATTATATGGGACTTTCCCTTTTGGCGCGGTCGGTTTCACGATACCATTGCGTGATGGTTTCGATGGGGTGCACTTAGGGTAAAAGAGGAAGCTGAGACTCTTATGAGAAGGGTTCTGCCTTCAGGGGAGGCCATGGGTTCAGAAAAAATACGTCGGTGTCTCGTTTGAGGGTTGCCCTCTAGGCGCATTGCGAAATCGCAAACCAAAGGCAACGCCGGCCAAATGGGAGGTCATGGAAAACCCTTGCTTCATACACTCAGTCCGCCTAGGTTTCTGGGATTTCCTCTGGGATCGAACCCCTGAAAGAAGGCTAAAACCGTTTTGTTTTTTCGACAAGCGGAACGACGCCAACGAGTCTCCAAACCTTTCTTGCGCGTCAGGCAAAACGGCTGCGCCTTGGAGGTTCTGACGGCTTGGCAGGCCGCTCGAGGGACCAAAAGTCGAAGGATTTCTTTCTGTGGACGAAAAGTAAGTTTGCGCCACGTACCACGGTGGTTTGCAGGGAATCAGGGCTCCTTATGTGGTGCAGGATTTTTTTTCACAGTAGGACACCCTGAGATGAACGAGACATTTCAAGGGGTGGCTCCCAGCCATCCGGTTCAACTTAGCTTTTGAATGCTTTTTAGTTGGTTTGGTGGTTAGGTTTTCATTTGGCCCACTAAAAGTTAGTCTCTTTTAGCAGAGGATCTGGGGATAGTTTGCCTAGACCCATGTAAATTTCAAAGTATCCAGGTCTTATCGGGAAATTAGCTAATTGAGTCCCCAGGGCCCCAGAGTGCAGAATGCCGGGATTGAAGGAATAGACCCATGGGCTAGTACAAACAGTCCGGATCTAATACGAATTGCCCTCCCACCAATGAACACGGAGCCTGACAGAGGGGTCCGGGAAGACGATTTTCCTTTTAAAGGAGACCCCTGTCAGGTTCCATGTTAATTGGTGGGAGGGTAAAACCAAGAACATGTTTTAGCAAGAGTGTCCAACCCTGCAGGGCGATCGAGGTTTGGTGCTCGCAGCAGTGGCCGAGAACGGCAACGCCCTAGAGTTTGCGGAGGCCGCAGGGACTAGGTCCTTCAAGGGCCGCAATCAAAACCCGGGTAGGTCAAGCAGGAAGGACAGCCCCAGCCAGAAATAGGCGCCGCGACCTTTTTTGTTTCTTTGCATAGCTTTAAAGGTAGACCGGTTTAGTAGCAGGTTTCATTGTGACTCAGGTGAACCTTTTGAGGGATATTTCGGGTGGTGTCCTTTCAACTGCCATTTACAGGGATAGATTTCAGACCAAGTGACGTGAGGGAAGCGGTTGACTTCATGTTGGAGACCTTCGTTGTGTCAGAAGGTGTGGGACAAATGTGGGACAACTCGGCTTGGTGCAACTTGACAAATCGCAATGAGGCTCCACAACAAATCAAATGCTTAGAGAAAGCTATTGAGCAACTGATTGAGCCGAAATCCGATATTTGTTGACCACCGCTCTGTGACAAGTGTGCCACCCCGGCCCCCAAGCTCCTTCCAGAAACCACTCCTGCAACAGTTACTTACTCTTCTTCAGCTGGTTGCTTTTGTCCATATGGATCCACTATTAGCGATGTTCGAGCAAAGTGCAGGTAACACTTAATCAGCAAATGTCTCAATCCCCACACGACGATCCAATGATCCGTGGTTGAACCGCGGAAATCCAATGTCTCGGATTTTGCGTTTGAAAGCGCCGCTCGAATCCTTCGAACACCACGGCTTTTCTTGAATTTACCAACCACGCATATTAGTTGAAAAGAAACCCCGCGCCTTTTGTTATGTAAAGGCCCGTCCCGTTGCTTTCTTTGCAGGCCCGGAACACTATAAACCGATGCTGAGGAAAAAAGCAGATACCCGTAGAAGCCATATCAGGTCCAAGGCGTTGTGGCAGACCAAAATTGCGGAAATCATAGATTTGCAGGGCCCAAACCGATACCCAAACCGATGCCCAACCAAGACCCAACTCATCAGCCGCGATGCCGAATCCGACCAGCTGCCCTGGAGCTGCTAGAATGTACTTTGTGTACTACATTTGTACTGAAGAGTTGCGATTGTCCAGCTGGAGCCGGACTTGCCAAGATGTACTTCGTACACTACACTTGTGCTGAAAAGTTGCAACTTTCCAGCGTGAGCAGCCGAAATGCGCCTTGCGCGCTACACTTGTACTGAAAAGTTGCGACTTTCGAGCTGGAGCTGTGAGAGCGTATGCTGTAATACTAGACTTGTACTGAAAAGTCACAACTTTCGAGCAAGATCTTCAAAAACACTGCAAACCAATGCAGCGGAAAACGCGATACTGACCGATGCGAGGGTACAAGGTTACAAGGGTTGTCCACTGTTTTTTCCAGCATGCATCACCTCACTTCAACAAGGGGTGTTTTTCTGTTGCCACGCATGTTTGGTGACGCGCTTGAAAGGGAACACTTTTTTGGAACTCTTAAATCAGGGTACTTGGCTGTACATGGGGCTTCTAGGTTTACACCTTAAACCTTGGTTCTAATTATTTAGCCCCTGTTACCTCCAAAACACAAGAACTACTCTGTCCCCCAGTAGCATGGCATCTGACGTTAGTGAATGTCGATGGGAAGGGTAGTCTAGTGAATTTCCACAAAAAAGTGCCTCAGCAGGCTATGCTCCGCGGGGACCGAGATTTCGTGCTGGAAGCGCTGCGCCAGACTGCGGCGGCGGCTCCAGCTGTGGCCTTTGTAGCAGAGGAGCTCCTGAAGGACGCGAAAAGACGAGAGTTGGGTCAAAACCATGGGCACCCTTTTGGGGTAGGTGAATTCACCACTCATAGCAGGCTTTATTTTAGTGGGGGTTGGGATGTTCACTGGGGGTACGGGGTCTTGACCCATGGCCAGATGACAGTTGGGGTGATGTTTCTCGACCATTTCTGGTTGGGTCATTTGGTGAGAAACTGGCTGGTGGTTTCCCATTTAACCTACTTGGCGTGACTTTGAACTGGAGTTGGCGTCTAGAAAACGAATTGGATTTGCGATTTTTATGTGGATATCACAAATGTCTCTTTTAGTACAATATGAATATTCTACAGGGGTGGATCCACAAAAGTCGCATCCAAACCGTCTTCTAGAGTTGGGGTCATGTGTTTCGACCAGCACCCTGGGGGTGGTAGGGAATGACCTTCTGGGCTTTGAGAATGAACCGGTTTTAGGGATGTGGCAATTTGTTCCTCAGGAGTCGTCAGGAATGTGCCAAAACCCAAAAAAACATGCCGTTTTGGTTTTCGTGTAAACATTTTTTTAAGTACCCTTTGGAAAACACAAACACAAAGGTTGTGGGCCTTATTCCCCCAGGATTGATTGATCAAAATGGGAGAACCCCGCAATGCCCTCCAAAACCTGGGTGAAAAGTGTACCCTCATACAAGCGCCAGGAAGCATCGGAACCCTTCCAGAACCCTCCCTGAAAGCCACATAGAGCTCGGGCAGCGACCCATAGCTCTCCCAGAGGCTGATTTGGCTGAGGATTTGTGTTTTACAGATTCCTCAAATGCGCGAATAGGTTCTTGGACTGGCCTCATGTATCAAAGTCACCCCAAGTAGGCTCAAGGGGAACCAGCCAGTTTCTGACTTTGCTTGCTGGTTCTCAGCAGGGAATGAGGGAATGACCCCTATGAACCATGCCTATGGTTGCCTAGCTTCAAGGGAATATTTCCATCACGAGCAGCAAGACATTTATGCCTCTTAGAATCGCTTATTTCCAATCCTACCTCTTCGTGATGGCACTCAAGGGCTTGGAACATCGTATTTGGTGGGTCTGCGGATTTCAATTCCGCGGATTTTGCATGGATTTCCATGTATTTCCGTGACATTCACAACACTTTTCCAGCAGGGCTGGCTGAAACATGCAAAAGTATGCTAACTTGCAATTCCTTGCATGTTCCAGGATTTTCGCTCAAACCAGCAAAGCAATTTGTTCCTCTTTGAGGGTCCAGGTGTGGGAGGGTTCTCGCCACAAGCACCTAAACTGAGTTTGAATCCCCGCTCCAAGATGACTGACGGGGCGATGGCAGGTAATTATGTTCAACTGTGCAACACCAGGTAATCTGGTTATGATCATTTTTGCAACTGAGGGGCAGCTCGAGTTGGTGCGCCTATGACAATCGCCTGCTTACTCACAGGGTCATTCCACGCTGTTCCATGTGCCTCACGCTGAGACGCCTGCAGGAAACTCACAAAGTTCCAGGGTTTGGGGACCTTCTAGATTCTAGATGCCCGACACCACAAACTCAGCTCAGAGCGAGAGCCATTTTTCAGGCAGACGGGTCCTGTGATCCAATCGGGGGTGATTTGTGCAGGACTCCTCCTTCGTGCTCGAAGCAGTGAGGATGAACCCTTGGACAATTGGATATCTGCCTGCAGATTTCCAGAGGCATCCCGAGATTGTCCAAGAGGCCGTCAAGCGGAATGGCCGGCGATGGAACCCTTTGCACCCCAATTGCAAGGCCAGTGGTCGCACGACCTGGGCGAGGAGGTACGAAGGAGCGGCTTGACGGTGCTGGCGCGTTTTCGCAGACGTCAGGCTACGGAGCGCCGTGCTGGACAGCTTGAACAGTTGTACAGATGCCATACGCATCCAGAAGCCAAAGAGACGCTTTTGGGGCAATGTTTCACAGCACGCCAGAGAAAGTGAATCGCGCTTTCAGGTTGTCAACTTAGAGTCGCGCTTTCAATTGCCGCTACGTTGTGTTTGATTTGTGAAGGGCATGCTGAGGGGAAGCCAAATCTATGCGCCATTCAGGGGCTGCAGTCATTGCTTTTTGACTCAAAGTATCTCAAAGCATGTCCACCCCCCGACTGAAGCTATTAAGCCAACACAAGCTGCTCGAGAACTGATGTGTACCTTTTTTGCGAGGGCGTGGTTGCTATGGGTCAACGACGAGAGCTTCCAGTCCAGTTGCCCACTTTTCATTCACTGGTGTTGTTTTCCAGTTTGTATTCGTGCTGTGGCAATCAACAAGTCAAGGTTAAAGGTTGGTCAGATGGAGATGTCCCATGGGCTATGATGTTCAATAGGTACACGCCTCAGTGGTTGACATAGATCCCAGGCGAAATCCCCCGTTAAAATGTGCGTTCATGCAGGCTGTGCGCGAAGACGAGCAGAAAGCCTTGGGCATTGCGCGGCGCATCCTCATGAGCGAGGAGGCGCCTTCAATGTGAGCCACAAGTCAATCCCGCAAAATGCAAGTAGTGGTGGGTAAGTATTACCTACATAGATTGTATGGAATATTCATTGTGGTCCCAGCTGACATGGTCAGCCCCGCCCCCCATGTTCTAAGTGTATTTTGGTGATGTCCCATGTTATTCCCTCTAGCGTGGGCAACGGCGCTTGTCGTTGCTACAAGGAATCATCGATTCCCACTTCCCAAGCCGTTCGCGAGCGAGGTGAGCCCACTGACATGAGAGTAGGTTCCTGTGGACACCAGGTTGCTTGTTTGCGCCAATCCGCTAATGAGAAGCACTGATCTTGAAAGATTCCGGCCAAGGTCAAGTCTCAGGATTTCTGCTTGTGACTTGCTGGTTCTCAGCTAGATTTTTTGGGAATTACCCAGAAGCGAACCATTCACCGTTCCCTCCTTTTTCCTCAGGTTTTTCGGGCTTTTGGGTTTCGTGGTTGGGTATCCATTTAACCCACTGGAAAGTTAAACTTTCAGCCGGGGATCTGAGGACAGCCCAGTTGAGACCAAGGGTGTCCCATTCCGAGAGGCGGACACATGGAAGCCACGGACTAGAAACTCTTCTGCCGCAGCCTTTAGGCTTGATTTTGGGCCATCTCAAGAGAAGCAATTCGGGAAAAGCCTTCGATTCACTCGAGCCCACAATCCATGTAGATAATATTTACCCACAATTCACCTCGTACATCTTGGAAGGATTCGGTGCAGAGTGCTCATGAGCTGGTCTTAGCAAGTCAGGAACCCCAAGCCAGCTTGCGCCAAAGGACAAGCATGTGTGTAGCATTCTGGAACCCATGTGTAGGAACCTCCTTGGGTCAAAGCAGTAGCAAATTGTGGGTGCAGTCCTTCCGAGGCTCGAGAATTTACCTCGAGTTGGTACACTCGGACAAGCACTGATTGCAAGGGCAAACGCAAACATGTTCTCTTGAGGCATGATCAGCTTTTCAATCCCATTCATGACTCTAGTGTAGGTACGCTGTGAGTTGCAGCACACTCCTACAAACTCCTGGCCCTAACTCATTTGCAATATATATATATATGCATCCAAGGGGAGACAGGACACCTCCACAACCCTGAGGCCAGAGGCTAGGTCTCGGTTTTGGGCCGCATGGCCACGCTGCAGACGCTGGAAGCCTTTGAGGCGATGAAACCAATCCACATTTCAGATGTCCAGACTTGTCTAGTCAGGTAGCCCTTAATTGGTGGTTTGGAACCCGGTGGATTTGGATTTGATCCCTTAGGGTAGAGGGGAAACACCTCCTTAACCACCAAACCACCAGTCCAAACCAGCAATTCGAGGGAATATGGTGCATTTGGGGTTGATGAGAAAGGGGCCTATTCGAGCTCAAACAAAATGCAGGGGACAATGCCTATTTTTCGAAATCTCAAGCTCACTTGCCCAAAACCTTTTGACAACTTTTGGTTTTCCTATTTGGGGTTTTCCCATTTTTAGTTCTGGCCCCAAAAGGTTAGCCGTTAGTTTCCGGTGCTTTGGGCAAGTAAGCCAGGGGAAACCAAGTTGTGCAAAGTGCGCGTGCCTTTCTGGGCAGATAATTGGGGCGATCAATTTGGAATGGGAAACAGTGTGCAGTTTCCACTGCTTCTGCGGTCTGTTTTCATGGATGCCCAGTCTGAATCACTGTAAATGCACAACAAGAATCCAAATTGCTTGTACTGCCTGCATGTGGTATGTCGTGGTTGTCCATGGAGAAGCCAAGGAGAAGCACCCAACAGGCCCTTGTGGAGGCTTTCATCGGTGATAAGACCCCCCCCCCTTGGACCGCGTTGGAGGTCCGTGGTTCGAGCCTGGATTGATAGAAACAGAGTCCGGTGTGCTGGGAATGATGCAAGTCGTGGCCGCCATCTCAGTTTTATGGTTCTCGGTTGTAGACGCTATATACAACCTTGTGATGCAAGCCTGCTCCATGTCGGGGTCATGGGATGGCAAGCGGGTACTTAGGACCAAGTTGGTGCATGGACAGAACTGGCCCCATCTAGCGCCATTTTGCTTTCAGATAGCCACCGCATGGAGCCCACAAGAGGGGCATTATGGCCTTGCACACCCAGTCAGGTCACCAGGTCCGTCTCTGGCTGTGACAATCACTGAAGCGACCTGAAGCCTTTGACATGGGGCAATACATACTGGTCAAAAAGGACCTGCTTGGGGTTACTTGGAATGGACCTTGTATCCTGGATTTCAGGGAAGCATTCTCATGACGCCCAGAAGGAGTTTTGACGATCGAGCATATTAGTTTATGTCATTTTTTGCAGGCAAGAATGAATTGATATGGACGTGTCCTGAAATAGGAGGCCTCTAAAGTTGTTCGGTTCCTTGATAGTTTGCCTTGAAGGAGCTACCCCTTCGGTTTAAACTCAGTTGTTGTTTGCCAGCAACCCATTGCAACTAGAACGGGCACCTCATGTTGGAGAGCCACGTTGTCCGCAATGGAGGCTCTGACGAGGCTTTGGCGATGAAGGTTTTGTCATTTGGTTGACCTATCCGAGTACCAAGTAGGTTATGAGTCATAGCACCACCTTTTAGCACCATGGTTTTGCACCCCAACTGGTTGCTGCCTTCAGCATTCCACGACTTAATCAACCTATGACTATAGACTATCGCGATTTCTGAGTTAGTTGCAGCTCCCTCCCCGAGTTCCTGGACTTCGTGTTCTTTGGGAAAACAAGGATGCTGTAAGAGCCGGACTCGTTTGCCGAGATGATCGAGGTTAGTTGCAACCTACTTGCCCATGCGTTAGTCTTAGGTCTTTAGTATGGCTGCAGTTCCTCCCCTTACCACATGGTTTTGATGCGGGTTTCCCTTGGCTGGGAACAACTTTTGGGTCAGTTAAAGCACAAAAAAACGCAATGAGAACGGGGTTTTAAGCATTCCCGGGAATATCCTCCAATCGGGAGGCCTATGCGGCGGAGCTGTTTCCGCTGGTGGGCGCGGAGGTGCTGGAGCAGGCGACGAGAGAGTCTGAAACACGCGCGAAGCGATCGAGTTGCCTAGGGCCCCCAGCAAGTGCCCCCCCACTTTTTGGAGATTTCCTTAAGGAATCCAAATTGGAAATGGATGGTGTTTCCTTTTGTCAAAATCCATGTCTCATTCCCCTAGGTCCACCAGTGCCCTTTCTCACCCCTTTTTTGGTTGGGAGGGGAACCCCCGACCAAAATTAGACTACAGAAAAAAAATCGAGTCTCTCAAAACTGGAGGACCTGGCTGCAGATACATTCCATTGCTTTTGGCCTTCAGGCCGTTTTTTTTTGTGTCCCAGGTCTGGTTCCTTGCAGACAACTTTCATTTGCTGAAATGAATATTTGTGTATTTCCCCCTGTTGGGCTGAACGGGAATCTATCGCTACTGGACATATGTTTGTGTTTTCCAGGGGACTTAAGCAAATGGAGGATGAACTCCAAGACACCTACATACCTTTTGACCATCCTGACAACCGAACAATCGGGGATCTTCACGGGAAGCTTTGGGTATGCTCAAATGGTGTATTGGAGGGTTCTTGGATAAAAGGGAAACCAGGGAGATTAGCTGGTTGCTTTTTTTCACTTTGGTTTGGGGAGGCTGGAGATTTTGTCCTGGCCGAATTTAAGTATGCTGGGGTGGCGGGTTGCTCCTCGTCCGCAGGACAAGCGCCCAAGACTTGTTGTTTTTAGGTGGGTGGTGTGCTCGTGCGCGTGTGTGATGTGAGGGTACCCGTTTCACCTCTGAAGGACGCCCAAAGCCATTGGGCCAAGTAGATCAACGTTGGGACAGGTTGTATTTTTGTCTTTGTTGTGACTATAGCGACATTGCCAGATGGGCGTGTCTTTTTTTGAGGGGGACCCCGAAAATGGTGGTGTTCCTTCTGGTTTCCCTTCAACACCAGGGAGATTAGCTGGTTCCTTTTTTTCGCTTTGGTTTGGGGAGGCTGGAGATTTTGTCCTGGCCGAATTTAAGTATGCTGGGGTGGCGGGTTGCTCCTCGTCCGCAGGACAAGCGCCCAAGACTTGTTGTTTTTAGGTGGGTGGTGTGCTCGTGCGCGTGTGTGATGTGAGGGTACCCGTTTCACCTCTGAAGGACACCCAAAGCCATTGGGCCAAGTAGATCAACGTTGGGACAGGTTGTATTTTTGTCTTTGTTGTGACTATAGCGACATTGCCAGATGGGCGTGTCTTTTTTTGAGGGGGACCCCGAAAATGGTGGTGTTCCTTCTGGTTTCCCTTCAACACCACCAAAAAGGGGAACCCTCAAACAAGACGCACCCAAATGGCAGTTCAAAGAAATGAGCTTCATGAACATCTTGGGCCAAGCAAACAAATTGCCATATGGATTCCTGCCAAGTTCCCTTCCAATTTCATGCAGCCTGACACTGCTATTGGGTGGCAATCCCAGTCATAGGCTTTCGTCCATCTCAACTGGGTAGTTGGTTTCGATAGGTTTGGCAGTTTTGGGACACCAAACAAAAACATGATGTCCTAAAATCGGCAAACCATATTTTTGGAGGGGGAGTTCTTTTTCGAAGCCGAACCACCGATGACAACCAAACAACCCGCCATCCAAAAACAATTTGTCAACAAACTTACGAAAACAAGCCTGAACAACAACCAGCCAACAGTCGCATGCTCCGAGAGACACAAGCGCTGAGTAACCCATCAACTGGTGGACGTTGTCCATCTTACTTGTCCAAAGCCAACCTTTTGACCTTTTGATGTTCCTACTTTGGTCTATTTTTTGGTGCTGGGCGCAAAAGGTGAACTTTTCATTTCAAGTAGGCTCTGAGTCGTGGCACCACCTTTTAGCACCATGGTTTTGCATGGACTATCGTGATTTCCTGAGTTAGCTGCACTACTGGAATCTATCACTACTGGATTTGCTTTTTTTTTTTCCCAGGGGACTAAAGCAAATGGAGGTTCACTTCCGGGTCCTTTGGGCAAGTAAGCCACAAACATAAGTAGGGGTGGTTCGAGCATGCTGAGGCGCTACAGCGGCTTCTAAAGGGGAACGGCCACAAGGCGGCGCGTGTTTTTCTCGCCTGGGAAGCCCGGGTCTCCAAATCGCTTTGTGTGTCCGGGGTACCCGTTGGAAGGGAAGGTTCAAACATCAAAGAACAAACACAACAAGGAAATTCAAACTTCTCTACCCTTTGGTCCAATACTTGTAGGTGTGAGGTTCATAGTTGTGGATGTTGTTCTACTGGCTAGGTTGAAGTGACAGATCGCAAAAGAGAAGGACATGGATGACCATTTACACACTGACCGACCAGCAATCGGTTGCAAAATGGAGGTTCCAATCATCAGCCTGTATTTGTGTTTCAGGGAAACTAAACATTAGGCATGGATTGTGAGCCCAAGCCTATACATGTGAAGCTGCCAGGGCAAAAAGTCTGAAGCTTCCGCGCACCCAGCTGGTGTGCCAGTGATGCAGCCGTGCTGGGTGAATCCAGGTTACTGTAAGTGATGCGGGTCGGACATGCGCGAATCTGACACATGGCCACCACTTCTGGGCTCGTTGCTTGCTTGATTATTCAATTCGGTTCATAAGCAAGCATAGTTGGGATGCGTTGTCAACCCAAAAGCAGGGGAGACGGCAGGGGGCTTTCAGGATCGAGAATGAGACATGGTGCGAGTGTTGCGAAGCAAAGCACTTGCCTTCCCTGACAACACGGTTCTGACAGGCGAACACCCCCCGTCTCAACATCATGTCGGTTGCCATGTTGCCATGTGATTGTTGATAGCTCCTGAATCCCTCACAATTGTGGTTGTCTTTTTGGTTCGCCTTTATCATCCTCTAGGCCAAGCCGCAGCACACGCATATCAGTAGCTGATTAAGATCTGAAGCCATCCGGGCGAAGGCGCTGATCAGCCTGGAGAGCCTCGACGGCCGGAATCTTAGAGGTTGCGGGCGAGAGACACTCGCGGTTCTGTTTCTCTGGCGCTTGCACGAAGCCAATCATCGGGGGAAGCAAATTTTAGTGTGGTTGGTTGCATCATATGGCTGTGGCTCAAAAAACAGGTACCAAAATGGAACCCTGGTAAGTGGAAACATGGACCAACACCTGCGTAACCCCTCCTGTTTAATTTTGAGCCACACCCATATGGGCACTTGCATGTGCGTACGATGTTGAAGCTGGTAGGTTAGTCCCCATGTCTACGGGAACTCAGCCCACTTGAATTAAAAGCATGGTTCCAGCCCGCTAAATGGGCTGAACATTCGCGTGCCATCATTCTTTACTCTTTTAGCCCTGATCCTGCTGCGACTATGGTTTGCGCCGACCTTTTTGTTGCATGATGTGTATGATCCTGGTGTATTTCCGATGGACACTGTGAGGAGTGGACATGATTGGTAAACCTGATGTCAGGAATCACCACCTTAAGCAAACATAGTAAAGCATTTACATTTGATGGTTGCAGGCTGTTGCTCACTCGAAGCAAGTACCACCAACCCCCGTCTCCCGGCCACTCTAGTGGCAAAACCCTTGCCAAGGTTCAAACCAAATCCTTCCGCAATAGAGATTAAGGACGTTTGTTTGAACCACTGGTCTTTAAACATGTGGGTGTGGCTCAGAATGAAAGCACCAGGGGACCGCAGAGTTTAGTCCTTGCTTCCAACCACGGTTCCATTTTGGTACCGTTTTTTGACCCACACCCATGTCTATGTTTCGCCGTGCTTAAAACCCTTGATGGGTCCTTCGTGTTTTTTCACCGGGCTCAGGACCTGCTGCGGTGCGGTGGTGCCTGGATGGCCTGCGTCAGCCGCAGCCGTGGCAGCCCGTGGCGAGGGCGCCTTGGATCGGAGACATGGGCAACTGGGAACTGGAAGTGTTTCTCAAAGGGAATCCCGGGCCTCCAAATCGCTTTCTGTGTCCGGGGTCACCATTTCTAGGTCCCCCCCAGTAGTGCCCTTTCTCACCCTTTTTCGGGGGAGGGTTGCCCTACAAAAATAGACTACAGAAAACTGGGTACCCTTAGTCTAGCCTCTCTACTGGAGGACCTGGGAAACTTCTCAAAGGAAGGACGGTCTGCCGAGGACTGCCGGAGTCTAGAGCCAGGAAACCAACTAGCAGGGATACAGGGGGAACCAAGGATACGGGAGGATTCCCTCGTTTGATGCACCTTGACTAAGTTATGGGGAATGGCGCCATTCTCCGTCACAGACGCAGAAAGAGCCAAGGTGCTGCCAACGAAGGCCATGCGAGGCCCAAAGATGGTCGGGCCCCTTTCGGTTTCCCGTCATAGCGAAAGCTGGGTGTGCACAAATATATAGTCCATATTTTTTAGGGTCGACAGCATATGAAAATGAATCTTCTGAACGTGTGTTTTTTGGAGTACCCCAGATGTGGACCAAGGAAAACCGGAGAATGTAAACTAATTATTTTTCTGTGCACCCCAGATGTGGGCCAAGATGTGAAGAATCACAGAAAGTGGGAGTTTTGACAGCCATGGTGCAATATCAAGAAGGCCTGTTTGAGGTATGGGATTGTGGGGTATGGAGGACATGAGCGTACTCACTTCCCGAGTTTCTAGGCTTTATACTTCTTGTGAAAAATCTTGGGAAATCAAATGTTTAGACTTTGTTGGTCAATACCACGCATGTAAACCATGCTGCTATGAATGTTGCTGGAAAACCACCGGACAATTTGTTGGTGAAGATGAATCCCCCACCTAAATGATGCCCGCCAAATTGTCCCCAACTGAAACTCATGCCGATGTTTGTTACAACAGAGTTGGCGGATTCAAGCAATCTTGCTTTTGCGTGCACTGGTCTTTCTGATCCTGTTTTGACAGTGATGTGTGTTGGCAAAGTGTTTGGGCACGACTCCAGCACCTTTCAGAGGAATGCAGTCATTTGAGTCACAATCAAAACCCGCGAAAAGGTTAGTAAGGGACAGTCCAGGCCAGAAATAGGTGTGGGATTCCGCGCCCTTAGTTCTTTACATGACTTTGTATTGACCCCTTTAGTCCCAGGTGTTGTATTGTGACTCATTTGCCGTATTTCTGGGGCCTGTGCATCCCACGTGCAGTTTCACCGTGAGTGGGCGGGGATGCCCCATCAACACCGAGTTTCAACCACCGGATCCTACTGGTGGCGAGGAACTGGTCGCTTTTCATGTCAGAAACCACAAATTGTTCTACGTGTTTGATCCATGGTTTCGACTCCTTTGCATTGTCTGACGGTTTGATTCCAACAAAAACCCCACGGCTCCCTTGTGTTTTTTCTTTTCGGTCCCCGTGCCTGCTGCAGACTCGACATGATTCGTTTGTTTTTCGTTTTGTCCGCGCGAAGGTCACGGTTCTGGAGGCCACGGGAAAGTTGCCGAGGTAGTCCCCATATTCGTGTTGTTTGGTTAAGGTTGGACCCCCATCAGTGGGCATTTAGTTTGTTGAAACCGCCAAGAAAGGACGCGCCCTTACATAAAGACACAACATGTCCAGTGAGTTTCCCGTGATGTCTTAAGAGAGATTCGGGGGAAACGGTTCGAGTTCACTATACTATAAGGTCCTTTATATGGGGATCCCTCATTTCCGGCTTGGAGCATTTTGTAGAAGTTTCAGAGTCATGTGGACAGATCTGTCAAGATCTGTCCTGTATCATACAAATCAAGAGAGGTGAGATGGAGTTCTGAGCACTCTGCGGAGGCCAGGGTGCCATGCGTTTGGACGGTGAGCCATTTCACGCATGCGTTCATGGACTGCGGGTGAATCGACATGACCCCAAGAATCTAAGTTGCGTCTGTCTATGGTTTTGGCGATGTGAAGGGAATTTGCAACTTTGTGCTGGATCAACCAAGTTTTTGTTGGGACAACCCAATATAATCCAGACAAGGCCATGTCACGGTTCTCAGCAGAGGCTGTTGGGCAAATAGGTATGTGTCAGCAGGAACCCGTTGTTTGGCCATAGAGAAATCGATGTGAGGCCAACCCTTTCTAATCATGATTGCTTTTGATGCTGCACTTAACCCAAATAGAAACACTTGAGATCTTAAAGCACGGTATATGTGCGAAGGAGTTATATTTGAGGAATTTTGTGGCCATTCCAAAACCCTCAATGGCCGCTCCTTGGCTTTCAAGAAGTACCCTGGTGTTGGACTTCCTCCAAGAGACAGTTTCGGCCGCGCATGTGAAATGCCCGCGTGTGAAATGAGCACCACATTGCAGTACCCTGAATTGAAGAGTTCTGGTTTACAAGCACTCACTTCCTGAGCTCCTGGACCTTGGCGTTTGGGGAAGACCAAGCTGCTGGTAAGCAAAACGTTTGGACTTTTGTGGCCAACCCACAAACGAAATATCACATATCATGATACTTGTAATTTCAATCGGCCTGCAGTCCGCTAGCGTTTGAAATTGGAATGGAGGGTCGTTGAGGTGGCCTCAACAAAGCGGGAAGATGTAAGGCACCTTCAGTCAGATATTTGGGACATCCACGAAATTCCTGGCCACCCTTAGTTGGTGAATGAATCGATTTCGCTACTGGAAGTATGTGTTTTTTTTTTTTTCTTTTTCTCGGGACGAACAGCAAATGGACCGAGGGTATAGGCACTTTTGGATTGTTTCTCCTGGTTTGGATTGGTTGGGATTTGAAGCTTTGGTAGAGGGTAAATCGGAAATCGCTAGCCTGCAAGTCACCAGTCCAAACCAGTCAGACGGAATCTGATTTTGAACCTTTGGTAGAGGGGTAAATCAGAACCATCACTACCCTGGAGGCCACCACTCCAACCAATGAGACAGAATCTGATTCCTGGCCGAGAGATGTCTGCCGAAAGCCGGAGGCGCTTTCCGTGGACGACGACATCCGTCTGCTGCTGGATGAAGCGCCGGCCTTGCTGGCCTTCGCGCCCGAGCCGGTGGCCAAGCGGTTCGGGCAGGCTGGACTGAGCCGGGCCGGGGCAAGCGTGACCTGTTCACTCGACATATATATATATATATATTATTTATTTCACCTGTTCACGGAGGGGGGGCAAGGGCGGCTAAGGCTTTTATATATCTATTAAATGTTAAAAACATTTTGGGGGGGAGGCGGGGCAAGGGCCGGCTGAGGCTCTCTTTTTTTTTTGGGGGGGGGGGAAAGGAAGGCTAAGGCTTGATTAAATGCCAGCCCCGCAAAGAACCCAAAGACGTGATCCAGCTGCCATTCAAATGCTGCCACGTCACCCCTAAGACCAGATTGGCTGCCTGGGCTTGTGGTGCCCTAGCACACGGAGACACGGACTAGCAGAATTCGCCTTCACCGGCATACAGCAAGCTAGAAGCTAGAAGCAATTGTTGGTGGACACCCCCAAGACAACAAGACGTTGGAGTTTGAACCGAATTCAGCTATTGTGTATTTAGGCGATATTGACATGTTGTTGCGAGATCCTGAGAGAAACCTTGGAAGTGTCGAGCTGACTGGCCTGCTTCACAATGTGCCAACAGAACTGCTCGGCTGGTCTTTGGGAACGACCTGGAGTAGTCATTTTCTAGCTCTATTTTTCCGCACCAATGGAAGTTTCCCAAGCAAATCCCCGGAGGTAGGGCTTGCAATGTCTACCTCGACCTGCTAGAGTTTTGTGTGCGTGGCTACAGCGCAGAACAATGCGACCTAGGCAACCCCTTGGACTTGATATCACGGCAAGCAGTCCCTGCAACGTGCTCTCTGTCTCTCTATCAGCCCACACGTATGGTTGTGGTTCAAAGTTAAGCAGC